TTTTCATGACAATCTTTCTTGTTGAAGTTCTCACTATGTGATTGAAAAATTAAGAAACTACTCTTGAGTTGGTATTTATTGATTATTGAATATTTATGTATTATCAATATGATGTGAATATAAATACATTTAAAAACACTTTGTTAATTAAATATCGATGTATGATTTACAGATGTTACATTTATTTGATTGTAGGTGGGCAGTTTGATGTTAAGGATAACGTCAAACACAACGAACCTGAACCTGTTGATGATGAAACTGATATTATTGAACATTCGGACTTGAAAGCTGATGGTGATCCAGATACCAGTAGAAAATCAAATGCAAAAGAAGATGGTAAACCAGAGAAAGATGAAGAATCTGATGCAAAAGACAATGGTGAAGTGGTAGAACAAAATTATACTGAAATAGAAACACCTGAAGAAACTACCAAAACTGAAGATGGTCAAAAGGAATCCGAAACAGAACCAATTAAAGAAAATATTGAACATACCGAAACTGAAAAGGTAGATGTAGAATCTACTGAAAATGATAAGATTGTCTGTGATGATCAAGTTACTGATGAAAAACAAGATGATGCCGTCCAAATAAAAGGTAAAACATTATAAAACACCCTGTAACTTTGTATTTATTAGTCACACATCACTTCTTTTCTTAACAATAAAATAATCTGTTTAATGTAATAAGTGAATGTTTGATGTTACCATAATAATGGAATATCTTTTAAATAATGAGAACAGATTTACTTATTGTCTTTTATTTATTTTGTTTTCTTTTATATGAGTTTCTTTAGATATTTTTTTTTACTCTTAACGATTTAGAAAAGTAAAATTATTTCTTACATGTTAATTATATAGATGAAAATTCAAGATTATTCTTGAAGAAAATATACCCAATTCAATGAATAATTACTTAAATATTATGGTGAACTTTAACCTTTGTGCCTGCAAAAAACAGTGTGACAAAAAGGACAGTTTTTCAACTGACAACGCTATTCTTTTAACTACCTTCACTTCTCAGCAATGTTTGTTTTAAAAAATGATGAATAAAACTGAAGTATATAATGAAAGTGAATTTTTATGTATTTTTTGTTCTTGCGAATTTGCAACAAAAATATTAAGCCCTATTTACTTATTAGATTATTTACATTTTAGAAACTAATACAATTGTGCTAAAACTAAGGCAATGTAATATTTATCATTTACCAGTTTATAAAAAAAATAAATGAAAATTTATAAATTTATAAACATTTACTAAATTATTAAAATATGTGAACTGGCTATAAAGAAATTGATTAGCAATTAGTCAAGTTTCATTAAAAATGATTGACAAGGAACTGTAGTACTTTCTTTGTTGATTGCTGGATCATGTAATTTAATAATTTGATTTAATAATTGTGCTTTTAATGAAATGTGTATAAAAGAGGGATTGCTTCCCAAATACACAATTATTAAATTGCATGACCTGGCAGCCAACAAAGTAATTACTGCAGTGCCTTGTCAGTCATTTTGAACAAAACTTATATATATATATATATATATATATATATATATAAATGTACATATTATGCCTCACTGATAGCATGGCTGAGTTTTATGCAAAATGCAATCTTCAATATATCTGAGATTATATATATATATATATATATATATATATAATCTTGCATATATTGAAGATTGTATTATGCGTAAAACTCAGTTTACACTTTTATACTATGTTTCACTTTTATTAAAGCTTCATCTAGAATACCTTTTATGAAAATTTCCAAAGGACAGAAGTAGGTGATATTTGCTTCAATAACTGTATTTCTGAATAAAAGTTTTTAGTAACATCGTTATTCCCCACCTGATGAGACGTTTAAAAGGTTTTTTTTTTTTGATGTTGAAACAAAAATGTACAATTTTGTAGTGGATATGTGCATGTTCTAATGTAACACTGCATAATAATAAATATATATATATATATATATATATATATATATATATATATATATATATAGAGAGAGAGAGAGAGGCAACAAATTCTCTTTTAGGCATATCTGATTGAATAAATTACAAACATTATTGTCTGGTTATTTTTATCATAATACTTTCATATTCACAAATATTTTCCATATATTACATTTCTGGCCTTATTTAACTGTAATATACAAAAATATATATATGTGTGTGTGTGTGTGTATGAAATTATGTTACTTACTCCATAGTTTACCTTGACTTTCTTAATTAACCTTATGAATGAGCATTCTTAAATTTAAAGATTTATAAATTTAAAATTTATATATTTTTGTGTGTGTAAAAATTCAAATATCAATTAAATATATTTGTAAAAAGACAGTATGGATAAACTTAAATTATATTTAATATATATATATATATATATATATATATATCTCAAATATGTGGTGCAGTTCAATTTATATATTACAATGAATCATTCATGCAAAAAGTACATTAGTAAAGTTAACGATATTTTAAAGATGTATTAACCTACCAATCACTTGATGAATGTTATGATCCCTGTTTTTTTTAAATTAGAAACTGTACTAGGTCTTCCTTAAATAATGTTAGTGCAGAGATTTTGCCATTTTATATCATTAACTTTACTAATTTACTTTTTGTATGATTCCTTGTAATATATATATATATATATATATAATTATTTATTTAAAAATATGATTGCGATGGAATCATATTTTTAAATAAATAATTATATTTAGGCTCTACTTTTGTATCGAGCACTGTTTTTTAAAAATAATAACAAAAATACTAAAGAACTTTGGATTATTTACCTAACAAGTTCTTTCCTATTTTTATATATATATTCACACACACACACACACACATATATATATATATATATATATATATATATATATATTATAAATTAATCGATTTAAAATATGTTTTTTTCCGCTACACAGTTATAACCATGTTTCAAAAATAGAAGCTAAAAGCCCCAAATTTAATTTTGCAATTAATAACTGATACAATGATACTGCCATAAGGAAAACCTAGACATCCCTTGTCCAATTGAAGTAGAATATTCTGTAACCATGGAAACGTGATTTTAGCTGTGTCTTTAAAACCCAGTAAGTTTTTAAAAGTTACTCCAAAATTTGCTTGAGGATGAAATGGAACTAATGCTTTTAATTTAATTGCAAAATTAAATTCAGGGCTTTTAGCTTCTATTTTTGAAACATGGTTAGAACTGTGTAGCGGAAAAAACCATATTTTAAATCAATTAATTTATAATATTAATGCTCTGTAAATTTACATTGAGCACTAATTTGTAAAAATAAAAATATCTATAAGAACACCGGATTATATATCTTATTTTTTTCTTTTTTATTTATTTTATATATATATATATATATATATATATATATATATATATATATATATATATATATATATTATATTTTATATCATATGTATACACACAATTTATATTTTATATATATATATACATTTATACTTATATTTCATAGTTTTTTTTTTATCTACAAGTTGGCATAGTGAGTAAGCATAAAAAACATAGAGAATTGTGGGCACTTTAAGGTTAATTGGTCTGCTCATGAAAAATATATAAAAACAATTTGGGGAAAATTTTTTCTAGATTATCCTTTCTGTAAGCTTGATGTTTGTTTTCTTTAATCATTTTTGAAGGGGATCATCTTCATAATATAAATACAGTGTCAGATCTATTGCTGATTTTTTAAAGAGTTATTTGTACTTTTTTTTTTTTTTTTTACTTACAATATCCATGTCACTGATATTTGCAAATACAAAAACTAAGTACTGATAACTTTAAAAAGTTAAAGATCAGTTTGACTCTGTATTTATATTATAAGCAGGATCCCCCACCACCACTTCTACAAGGATTAAGAAAAGGAAAGTCTTCAATAAAATATCATCTAAGACTTCTCTGTAAAAGTGCATGCTTTGTTATTTTATGAGGAAACTTTTGGCTGTTTGTTTTTTAACCTTTCCAAAATGACCTTTCTGCTTTCAGATGATGAGACTAAACCTGAGAATGTGAATCAGCAGGAAGATGAGGACAGAAGTAAAGAGGTCACAAAAAAGAATCAAGTATTAGAAAATGCTGACCAAGATGGTGATGCTCATGATTCTGAGAGTGTAGCTGAGGATAATTTGGAGAATATAGAGGCTGTTGAAGAGAATGGCCAGGCTGAAGGGCCGATCTCTTATGTTGACAATCCAGGCGAAGAAACATATCTGCCAGGACTTGAATATGAAACTCAGCCTGGACCTACAGGTTACTATACTCAAAATGGTGAAATGATATATTTGAATATTGCTGAAGATGGGCAGATGATTTACCAAACTGAAGATGGGCGATTGGTTTACCAGTATCCAGATGAAGATGGTCGTATCATATATCACACTGGAGGTGTAGAAGTTACATATGATGCTGAAAATCCATCTGCCATTGTTGAGGATGCTGTATATGATGATGAGGATGATGATGGTGTTACTGCAGCAGAAGCAGACTATAATCTTGTAAGTTTAGGAAGTATTTTACTCTAATAGATTTTAGTCATTCAATATAAAGCAAAATATACTTTTCCTTTATTAATATTCTTTAAACCTAGAAAATGCGGTAATCCTCTTCATAACCATGTATAGAAAGTGTCTGTATATTCTCAGATAATCATATAGGAAATATATGCCCGTTAGACTATCATTAGAGTTCATGCCTCAATGTCATAGGATATAAAATGTTATAAATACATATATGGTAGCATTTTCTTCTCTTCTTCCTTTTTTTTTTTTTTTTTTTTTTTTTTAAGCATTTCATTCCAAGCAAGGTGGGAGTGCCACTAGTACACAGGTGGTTACAGAGAGAGAAAGTGAGAGAAAAGAGGGTTGTTTGAGGAAAGGATATAGAGAAGGACGGGAATTGGGATTGAGGCATCAGAAGGTGTCAATTGACATTACATTTGAATATTTGAAGATTATAGCTATCAAGGAAGCAAGTAAGAGGAAGGGAGTTCCACTGCTGGGAAGTGTGAGGGAAGAAGCTGTTGGAGTAGGAGAGGTGGTTACATTTAACTGTTTCGACAGTAAAAGGATGGGACCAAGATGCCAACCAAAATTTTGAAGATTACGGTTATCAGGGAAGAAAGTAAGAGGAAGAGAGTTCCACTGTTGGTAAGTGCAAGGGAAGAAGCTGTTGGAGTAGAAGAGGCGTTTACATTTAACTGTTTTAACAGTGAAAGGGTGGGACTGAGATGCCAAACTAGTAGAACTATTAAAGTCATGCACTTGGGGTACCAGTGAAAGTAGCTCATCAGATGAAAATATTTGTAGAAAAGACAGAGGGAAGCCACAACATGCCTGTAAAAAAGTGACTGTAGATGAGAATCTAGATCAGGACTTTTCACATTTCATATCCGTCTCTGGATTTTGTTGAGGACCTCAAGATAAACAGTGGCGGCACCAAACCATATATGGCAATGGTATTCAATGCAAAGACAAATGCTAGATTTGTAACAAATTAAATAACAAGTACTGCCAGTGAAGAAAAAGGTAAAGAAGACAAGAATTGTGAATATAAAATCACCAACTGTAAAAAGGTAAGAGTTTAAAAGTAATTTTATAAGTAAGGAATATTCAGTTGTATGTGATATCTTTTGTACAACATGGTAAAAATAAGATATAATTTTGTTTCATATAGTATATATTGGAGCTGCTTAGTTTATTGGATAGATTTTATTAAGCAAGATTATTCTTCAGTATGTGTCTATATTTCTGAGACTAGGTATTATGTACACTATTTACATTATTCGAACTATTGTCCCCATCTTTTTCGCCATATTTATGTTTCGGCTGTTGTATGCCCGGGCCTTCTTCAGGTGGTAGGAATGTCAAACTGAACCCTTTATTTCACTCACTGAAGTAGACTGTTCTAATTCCATATGCCATGTCTAATGGATGTCAGTTATCAGTTATCTCCTGTTAATTTCCCTCTCCAAGTTCTCCACTGCCTTAATCAGGTATTGAACTCACACTGTTTGGGTCCTGTCACTGGATCTAACTAACGCCTTTATGCACTGTGCCATGTGTCCTTGGGGACTTTTTTATTCATGCCAGTTTCTGGTAGGATTTTTCAATTTGTCTCCATATTTTTGGTGTATCAGGTCCATACTGATCATTCAATATCTAAATTTCTGAGATCAGGTATTATGTACACTATATACATTATTCGGACTATTGTCCTCATCTTTGTTGCCATATTTTTACACTGTTTCAGCCATTGTACGCTCAGGCCTTCTTCAGCTGATTGGAATGTCAAACTGAACCCTTTATTTCGCTCACTGGGGTAGACTGTTCTAATTCCACATGCCATGTTAAATGGATTTCATTTATCAGTTATCTCCTGTTAATTCCCCCCTCCAAGTTCTCTACTGCCTTAACCAGGTATTGTACTCACATTGTTTGGATCCTGTCACTGGATCTAACTAACACCTTTATCCACTGTGCCATGTGTCCTGATTAGTTCTGATATTAGTTTTTTTAAATTAACTAATATATGTAGGTATTTTGATTGTTAACTATGATCTTAAAAAACTTTAAACACAATGTTTACTTATCATCTATCTCATTGAATCTTGATCTTTTCTTGTTCTTTCTCCTCAATAACATTTTCTCAGTTTCCTTCACTCTCAGTAACTCTTTGCATCTTAGTGGCTTTATCACCTTGCTTGTGATGAAATGATTAAAAAAGGCTACATAATATAATGTATTTCATTGAAATGTTGTTTTGGTTTCTAATTTTTTTGTGCTAGTCATGTGATAGATAGTAACTTGGAACAAGAAATTGGAGAGCTGTATTCATATTCCAGTTGAGTTCATTACATTAATTTATGCATAAATAGCCTTTGGGAAAAGTATGAATCCATTTCTTTACAAACAGCTATGGGTTAAATAGTAGCATGTATTTTTGAAAAACCATTGTTATTCTCAAAATATTGTTAATGACAATATTTATTTGCCAAAAAAAATAATTATTCTTACAATCCTAGACATATTTTGACTTTAAATAACCCATTAAGAGCATTTTTTTAAAATTTAACTGATATACTAATATCTGTAGGTATTTTGAATGTTTTTAAAAATGTAAAATTTAATTTCTCACTTTCAGGATGCACCTGCAGAAGATGAACGAGGACCTGATTTCAGCAAATATCATGGAGAAGCAGAGCATAGTGAACATCAAAATACTTATGCATCATCTCCTGAACCATCAAGTACTTCTGAATACAAACCTTCTGATTCTGGTGCCACTGCTGGTGCCAGAATGGACCAAAACCCACAAAATCAATATGAGCCTGCTGATGGCACCAGTGGATACAAGTCTTGCCCAACACCAAATAATAGTTCTTCAAGAAGAGGAAGTCATGGGACCACAGGAAGTAGGCACCTCTTCAGCCCTGGACCAAGGGCACCACCATTTAGGATACCTGAATTCAGATGGTCATACCTACATCAGAAGTTACTCTCAGATCTTTTGTTCTCTATTGAAACTGACATTCAAGTTTGGAAAAGGTGTGTTTCTCATAGAAACTTAAGTATTTTTTACTTTTTATTTATCTGATACTTTTTTTTTTTTTTTTTTTTTTGATGGAATGTTGTTAGACACACCCTGTCTTGTCTTCCTTTAAGAAAAATTGTTGAATTGATTTTATTGTAAAAATTGATGAATCTCTAATGTTTAAAAGAAAGAACAATGTTGGAAGAGTAGTACATCCAGAATGGATTTTTAGACTTTATGATATTGAAGTAAGACAAAAAAAAGTGTACCTGGTGCATATTGCTGACAAAAGTGCAAAAACTTCCAATTGTGCAGTGATATATTGCACCTGGTGCTTTCATTCATAGTGATGGATGAGCCACTTATAATTTGTTAGTTGTCCTTAGGTTTCAGCATTCTTTTGTCAACTATAATCTGAATTTTCTTGACCTAATGATGGGGTCCTGTACTAATCACGTAGAAGTATATTAGGCAAGAATCAAGAAACACCTAAAGAGAACTGAAGGTTCAAAATTTGATATGAAATGGTCATATCTGGATGAGGCAATTTAGAGATTTTTTTTTTAAAGTTCAAGTTTAATAATGTTTGGGAGAATACAGACACTTTTTTTTAAAACATGTATCATTGCAATACACATTTTAAATATATTACTATACTTGGTTTTAACATTTAATACTGTCACATGAATGCTTTTTTTTTGTAATTGGTACCATCCCGTGCAAGGCAGTAAAGCCACTAAGACACAAGGTAATTACAGAGTATAGAAAAATTAGGAACAGAAACATTAATGAGCAGGAAGAGAAAAGAGTAATCAGAAGGACAGTAACATATATATTTTTTCAGATTAAACTTGGTTGGAAAGCATGGAAGCAGAAGGGAATTCCACAAGTGAGAAGTGTGAGAAAAGAAACTGTTAGCATAGAATGCCTTGAGGACACATGGCACAGTGGATAAAGGTGTTGGTTAGATCCAGTGACAGGACCCAAAGAGTGTGAGTTCAATACCCGGTTAAGGCAGTGGAGAACTTTCAGAGGAAAATTAACAGGAGATAACTGATAACTGACATCCATTAAACATGGCACATGGAACTAGAACAGTCTATCCCAGTGAGCGAAATAAAGGGTTAAGTTCGACATTCCAATCACCTGAAGAAGGCTGGAGCATACAACGGCTGAAACGTTGTAATAAATATGGCAACAAAGATGAGGACAATAGTGTAAATAATGTAAATAGTGTTCATATTACCTATGCAAAAGCCAAAGGAGTTGGGCTTTTATGTCATGGATGAATACACTCTGGAAAATTTTTCTTTCTAGGTTATTGAACACACAAATGATTATCATTTGCATGATAGCAGAATTATTATTGGGTATTACAGCATGTCATTTGATTTTTGAGATTACTCTCTTTTGATTCCCCCTGGAAACATTTGCAGTAGTATCATGGTTTAACTGGGAGTTTAGCCTAAGAACTGAATGACTTGATCATAGCACATTTACTCTAGTGCTATCAATGCAGTATGTTGTACCACTGCTACTTTTACAATGATACAGATGACTATACAATACAGATATGCTTGATAACTACCTATATTACTTGGCCATCTGAAACCTGTCGTACAGGAATAGGAATATTCATTTGATAACTTTTACTAACAGGAAAACCACATAGATGTGTCACACCTAACATCTGTACTAACCACTTGGCCTTGTGTCTATAATATAGATAAATTACTATTGTGAAGTGAGTAGCCATGGTCAATTGCAAAAGTAACAGAACTGTCTAACAAACAGAATTGACAAAGTTTGCAATAACAAGAAAAAGAAAAGAAAATAACAAAAAATAATATAGAGCAAGCAACAATACTGCATATAATGCAATATAATTATAAATATAATAATATAGCAAGCAATATAATTATAAATATAATGCAATATAATTATAAATATAATATATAATATAATTATAAATAAATGCAATATAATTATAAATATAAAATATAGAGCAAACAATATATAATTATAAATATAATAATATATAAGCAAGCAAAAATATAATTATAAATATAATGCAATATAATTATAAATATAATAATATAGATAAGCAATATAATTATAAATATAAAAATAATATAAATATAATTATAAATATAATAATATAGAGCAAGCAATATAATTATAAATATAATGCAATATAATTATAAAATATAATAAATTATAAATATAATGCAATATAATTATAAATATAATGCAATATAATTATAATTATAAATATAATAATATAGAGCAAGCAATATAATTATAAATATAATGGTATAATGTAATATAATTATAAATATAATAATATAGAGCAAGCAATATAATTATAAATATAATGCAATATAATTATAAATATAATAATATAAGCAAACAATATAATTATAAATATAATGCAATATAATTATAAATATAATATAATTATAAATATAATAATATAATAGAGCAATAAAATATAATTATAAAATATAATGCAATATAATTATAAATATAATAATATAGAGCAAGCAATATAATTATAAATATAATAATAAAATAGAGCAAGCAAGAATATTGCATATAATGCAAGACAAATTAACAGTAATAAGGCAAAGCAACAGTAATAAGGCAAATAAAAAGTGATAAGGCAAAGCAACAGTAATATGGCAAAAAGTTCACAAACTAAGAATTGGGGTTGACACACAAAAGGAAGTTCAGACAAGTGAACGTAGCATTTAGGATTGAGTAAAATGAAACCAAGAACCGGCCTATTTTATTGGCTATGAAAAAATCCCAGAATACTTTTGTGTTCTTCTGCCTATAAATTGGGTAGTGGCAAATGTTTTGCAGTCATTCCTATGCAGATTGAAACCAGCGATTAGGATTTTATATTTTAGGAAGAAAATTATTTCTGATTATTAGAAATATGAAAGTATCCTTTGAAACTTATGTATATGAAAAAGAAACCATGACAATGAAATAATGGAATTTTTTAATTTGTTTTTGTTTTTCAGTCATAGTACACGTGCAGTAGTAGATTTTGTGAACTCTGGTGAAAATCATATTTATATTGTCAATGTGACTCACATGATCTCACAACTGGCAGACAATCTCATCATGTCATGTGGAGGACTCTTGCCTTTATTGGCTGCTGCTACTTCACCTAATGTAAGTCATTGTAGTAAAGTTCTTTTTTCTATTTTTCAAGAAACATTCATTTCATTTATGTCATATAGAAATTAATAATCAATTATTATTACTTTGATGATTTCTATATTTAATTAACTAAGAATAGTATACGAGATCTTCAGAATATAAGCAAGGATTTCAGTTCAAAATATTCTTCATTTTAGCTTAAACAAAAACAAAATGCCTTCTATTTTTGGTATAATTTATTTTTATTTCTTGTACTCAACCTTTATCACTCTGTATGTGACTTCATTTGCTGTACAAAAATTTTATCCTGCCACTGAAGGTGTCTCTGATCCTTGAACAATAATGTGTTTGAATTTCATAGTTGTGTTGTCATATCCTACTATGGCAGCAGAAAACAACTTCAAGCAAAATTAATAATAAAGATACAGCAATTGAGAGGCCTTGAAAAAAAGTATGCAATGGAAATGAAAGTAATATTAATAATGCAGAATGCTAAAGGTTAATACTATCCAAGAAAGCAGATGGCAAACAGATTGAAAAAAAGGCTTTTTAATATCTTACATCCAGATGAAGAAAGAGAAAACCTTAGATTTCTTAAGAAGGCTTTGAGATAATTTCAAGAGAACACTTAAACAAATAAGTACTCAAACATCACATAAATTACAGAAGTTTATTAACAGGACATGATCGAGGTTCCAGACAAATAGGAAATTCTGTTTCTGAAATTGAAAACAATTTGATATCCTTTGATCTATGTTGTTACATGTATATAAAAATGCATAACATATGACATTAGTACTTACCATGGACAGTGTAGTAACTGGCTACTAATGCTCATGACTGGGAGCATCGTTCTAGAATTGTCTGTGTAAACATACAATTAACACTGACTCAAATTACATCCATAGTCAAAGCAGAAAGTACAAGACATATTCAACAGGTCAGTTTAATTGTTCTTTAGTTTCCATAGTATATAGGAACAGAAGACCTAAGGTTTCCTTGTTAACATCACAACACCAGACATATCCATTTACCTGGACTTGTGATATTGCTAATTGTATCCCAGAAGATTTTAAATGTTTGTCTGGTTCATTATATAATGACCCCAGTTGTTATGGCTGATGGTAGGGTTCAGGTGTATCATAGATACCATAAGATCCTAACTGTTAAAAAGACACCTTGTAGACTTGTGGTGATTCCACAATGATGTGGGCTGTGTTTATGGGCATGGGTTAAGTCCTCTGGTTCACCAAAACCTCATTAACAATTGGCCACACTGTTTCACTGCTCCTTGACCATTTACACTCATTCATGGACTTTATGTTCCATTGTACAAGTTTGTTCCAGCAGGATAATGTACAGTGCCATCAGATTCAAATTGATTTGAGCAGTGTTTTGGAGACTTCTGAGGATTGGTATGGCCACTATATTTACCAAACATGACATACTCAAGCATTTATGTGGTAGAGAGGTCTCTTTTCCTGAAAGGACCCATATCTACAAATATCAGATCTGTGGGAAGTTATCAAAATGCCAGGGATCTATATCTCTCTAGATGTCTTCTGACCATTTGTGGAATTAGTGTCACTGTTCTGCTGCGCTTCACTGGGCTAGAGGGGGGGGATCTTACATGATACTAGGCCTCTATCCTATAACTTTTTAGCATGTCAGTGTAATTTTATTTTTTGTTTTCCATAGGATGGAATATTAACTAAGATTTACTTTTCATAATTAACTTAATAATTGTTTCTTTAATTATCTAGGGAGAAATTGAAATTTTAGAACCAAACCAAGGGTTAAGTATTGAACAAGCTGTATCTATTTTACAAAGAATAATGAATATGACTGATATTGTGGTGTTCACTAGCTCAACAAATTTCTCAGAATTGGAGCAAGAAAAAAATATGCCACCAGGTGGTATACTTCGTCAGTGTCTACGTTTGGGTAAGTTATTTTTTAAATTTATATAAACAAAGATCATAGCAATTTTAAAAATTATCAGTAAAGTTTTATATATTATTATTTAAACTACCTATCTTAATAGCAAGGACTGACCTCCTCCCTATATAGAGTAAAAATCTCAACTAATAATGTGTAATTGTTTACAGATAAAAAAAGGAAAGAATGAGTATATCTACAGTAAATAGATTGAATTCTATGAATGTATTTATTAGTAATTCCTACTGTTAACTATCTCAGAATTTGTTTTACTAAGAATATAGTATTTGCCTGATGGTAAATATGACATTCTTGTTATATGTATTCTTCTTTTACTTATTGTTTATATTCTTCTTTTATTCTTATTTCTTCTTTTTTTTTTAGGACATCTTTTTCTCAAGAACTTTTTTTCTTCTTCTTTTTTTTTTTTCTTCTTTTTTTTCTTCTTCTTTTTTCTTTCTTCTTTTTTTTTCTTTTTTCTTTTTTCTTTTCTTTTTTCTTTCTTCTTTTTTTTTTCTTCTTTTTTCTTTCTTCTTTTTTTTTCTTTTCTTCTTTTTTCTTTTCTTCTTCTTTTTTCAGATTCTTCTTTTCTTTCTTCTTCTTTTTTCTTTCTTCTTCTTTTTTTCTTTTTTTCTTTCTTTTTCTTCTTCTTTTTTCTTTCTTTCTTCTTTTTCTTTCTTCTTTTTTTCTTTCTTCTTTCTTTTTTCTTTCTTCTTTTTTTTTTTCTTTCTTCTTTTTCTTTCTTCTGCATTTTAAAATTTCTTCTTCTTTTTTCTTTTTCTTCTTTTTTTTTCTTTCTTTTTCTTTCTCTTTTTCTTTCTTCTTTTTTTTTTTTCTTTTTCTTCTTCTTTTTTCTTTCTTCTTCTTTTTCTTTCTTCTTCTTTTTCTTTTTTTTCTTTCTTCTTTTGGAAAGAATGGAAAAAAATTTTTCTTTTTCTTTTTTTTTCTTCTTTTTCTTTCTTCTTCTTTTTTTCTTTTTCTTCTTTTTTTCTTTCTTCTTCTTTTTTTTCTTTCTTTTTTTTTTCTTTTTTTTTCTTTTTTTCTTTTTGTAAATTTTTTTTTCTTTTCTTTTTCTTCTTCTTTAAAACTTTTTCTTTTTCTTTTTTCTTCTTTCTTCTTTTCTTTTTTCTTTCTTCTTCTTATTATTCTATGTAGCATAGCTCTCCACAACTTTGTCCTTTGTAACTTTTAGCAGTGTTTGCCTTTTTGCTATCTCTCCTAATCTTTGTTCTGCCAACCATTTACACAAGATTGTTAAGTAGGTTAATCTGTTTCTCTCTGTCCCTCTTGCTTTCAACATCTCCTGTGAGTTGACTTTTCCAAACCCTCTTCCCTCATTATGTGCCCTAGAAATTTCATTTGTCTCTTTCTGATTCTAAGTATAAGTGTTATTTTGGTTCCATGTTTTTCTAAAATTTTGTTGATGCTCACATATTCAGTCCATGGTATTCTCAGCATCCTTCTGTAGAACTACATTTCTGCTGCCTGTTAAATCTCTTCTTCATCCATGAAGAGACCACCTGCATTGACTGCCATAGAGAAGAACTGATTTTATATAATAGTCCAGTACTCTTTTCTAATGAAATTTTCCTGTCTTTTAATACTTTGCTTCACTTTTGGAAAGCATTTTTCACTATTCCAATGCACCTTTGGATTTCAGTGTTACACTTTCCATCCTCTGTTAAAATACTTCCTAGATATTAACATTTTGGATTTTTTTGATTTTGGTGTCTCCCATTCATATTTTGAATCTTGAAGGTATAATATGTGTTTTAGTAGTGGCAAAAATTGTTCAGTTTCACCAAATTTGGTTCTAGAATCAGAGTATACTCTTAACCTAACTATATTAGTGAAATAGGTAACTGCTATCTGGGGACTAGGGATTAGACATATTTCCATTCATTCACTAATTACAAATATATCTTATAATAAATGTTCAAATTAGAAGCTCTGTTAATTTCCACTCTTTATTCAAAATGTCAACCAGAGATAATTTTCCACAAAAGAAATAAAACTAAACATATCCACAATCAGTAGCTATTCTTACTTAATGGGAACAGCACATAAAAAAAACAAGAAAAAATAAACCATGCCTCCATTTTGTCTTTAAAAAAATAATTATCTTATTATAGATAGAGATTAATCTGTCACACTTTCGTGTTATTTATCTACATGATATTTAATCAAGTAGTCAAGCATTAGGGTATTTACTTTAGAGTAATGTTTAAGATGATAGTCTCAAAAGTAGTTCAATATCAGTTAAAAAGAAATCTTGGTGATTCTAAAATTATTTTCCTTTTGTATTTCTATCAAACTATCTCATAATATCAACTTCTTGTTCATTACATGACAGACATTTAAAACTACAAGACAAAGAGCAAGTAAAATGATATTAAAAAATAATTTGGAAGTATGTTTGCTGCCAGCACCTCCAGCAGGCACTGGAGCATGTTCCAACATTCCACCAAGACCATAAGAGCTGGAGGGACAAGGTGGCTCTTATGAACTCAATGTTTTCATAGCATGAGATTCAGCATCACTATTAGAGTTACAAACTTATAGAAAGATAAGTATATATTAAGCAAAAACAAAAAAAAGGTTTGATTTATTTTTTACTGGTTATCAACCTTTTGCAGGTTATTTAAAGCCAGAAAATTTTTTTAGATTGTAAGAATTTAAAAATGATATAATTCTACTAATTAACCCATGGCTGGGGGAGAAGAGGTGGATTCTTATCTTTCCAAAGCATGTTTGTGCATAAGTGAATATAATACAAACCCAAATGGGATTGGAACTTTGATCACCAGTTTCCAATTCTGAGCTGTTATTTATTACACCACCTGCACATCCAAGCTTACAGCACCTGGTATTCCCAAGCTGTCACACATTTAGGTATTGACCGGGCTCAAAGTAAAACAAAGATAAATATGTGAAGAAAATGAAAAGAAAACAAGACAAAATATTTTTTTACCAATTGTTCACCTAATACAAAGCCTATGAATCCCTCAATATACAGGGGTTTTGAATGAGGCTGCTGCATGTAAGAGGATATGTAGAAAAGATATTGCTTAACACCAGAGGTTAAGATTGTAATAATCAGGGAAGCATCCTCTCAGGAGTCTATTCCACAAAGTAGTCATTTTATGGGGGAAAAAAACTGTCTGAATGGAACTTTTTTCTTATAGAAAAGGAATTGGAATGGTTTCTTCAGTGTATCAAATGTTAAGATTATAACTGGTGGAACTAATGAATATAGATTATCAGAACATTTGCCATGGAAATAGCAACAGAGTAGTGAGAGGCTTACAATGTTTTATCTGTGAGGTAGGGATTATAAAGTGGGAAATAATTATCCACAAAGACATGAAGATGCTTCAGAACTCTATCATGACACAAAAGTGGGGACTAGGCAGCTCCAGTTTTAATTTTTGGAAAATAATTTTTTTTATCCATTTTTTTGTTTTAGTCTGTTTACATACTAAACAAGTCTAGTGTGCCCAGAACTAAAGAAAGAAATAGATATATTAATATTAAGACACTTCGTCTTGTATTTGTAATATGTTTTTAATTTTATCAATCTTTGATTACTATATTTATGAAAAGATTTAGTATTTGGAATTTTGAAAATTTAATTAAAAAAATTACACTCTGAATTTCCAATTTATTTCCAATTCATATATTTCTTCTTTCCTTCTGCCAGATATCAAATTAATCAGAAACATTTTAAATTCTTGACAAAATTCAAAGAAAGATCTGTAATGTAACTGATCTTGATCTGACATCTTGACTTGTCACTTTCTCACATGGCTTCCTTCTGTCTTTTCTACAAATATTTTCATGGCTACTATTCTGGTGAGCTTTTTCCTTCGTGCCTTAACTGCATGCTACTAGATTGGCAACTAGGTCTCACCATTTTACTGTTGAACTAGCTAGATGCAACTATCTCTTCTATTCTAAGTTTTTCTTCTTGTACTTTTACCCATGGAACTCCCTTTCAATTTGTTGTTTCTGTGCCACTTACAATCTTCACAAATGTAAATGTAACATCAATTGCCATCTTCTGTCTTCCTGAAACCTCACTAAAGTGTCCTCATTTTTTTTCACTCCCAGTATAACCTCTTGCATCTTAGTGGTATTATCGTCATATTCTGTCTTCCTGAAATATGTTCTTTTATTGTCCTTTCTCCTCACTAAAGTCTTCTCATTCTCTTTCACTCCCAGTAACCAATTGTGTCTTAGTGGCATTATCACCGTCTTCTGTCTTCTGAATTCTTTCTCTTCACTAAATCCTCCCTTTCTCTTTCACTCTCTGTAACCTACTCTATCCTAGAGGCATTCTCTCCTTATTTGGGGTGAAATGATTAAAAATAGAAAGATTGTTTGAGGAAAGAAGGATGAAATTGGAAGGAACTTGAAAAATGTATAACTTTATTTAACACTTTTCATTAGAAATGAGGTAGACATGTGGAATTTAATTTTGATTCATAATAAAATTGTTTGAATTTTTTTTTATTTGTATTTTTACAGTCTGTACCGCTGCTGTGAGAAACTGTCTGGAATGTAAACATAGATATACTCCAAAGACACCTGTAGCAGAACCTTCTCCACCACAACCTACACAGCGGCAAAACTCCAAACCAACAAATGGTGCTGATCCTATTCATTCCCTTATTGGAGGTTCACATCCATCTCCAAAAGTAAAATATGCTCTTATTATTTTTTTATCTCTTTCTAATAAATCAACTTCAGATATTGTTTTTTAGAAGAATATAAAATATAAATATAACCTTTATTTTTGTCTGAATTTCTGGGGTGAATAGTCATCATTATATATATTATTTTATTATATTATTTATATTTTTTGCATGCATACTGTTGTCCTTATCTTTGTTGTTATCACAAATGATATCAAGTCTTCAGTAAGAGCTGTAACAAGAGAAAAAGAGTCATTGCGTGCAGTCAAGCATTACAACAACAGCACTCATCAACAAGCAGGTTAGGTTTAAAACTCCAAGTTCTCCACAGAGAATTGTCCCATGGGACAGTAGCCTAATGGATTAAAGCTTTGGTTTATGAATTTGGTAACATAGTAGTTGTGAGTTTAATCTTTGTACTTGAATGAATTAAATATATTTAGATTCAGTGGAAACAGAGTGAGCAATAACTGAATAATACTAAAAATAAGAACTAGATGAGATATCTCTTGACATGGAAATCAAAACAATCAGTAGATTAATGGATAGCCACTCAGATTGAGGAATTGGAGAGCCGAGTTTGAATTCCAGTTGAATCCATTGCATTCACTTACGTACTAATACCCTTGGAAAAGGTATGAATCCTCTTCTTCTCTATGTAGCTATGAGTAAATAGCAGGACAGAACGGGTTCTATAGTCTTGAATGGCAACTGGTCTACTACAGAGAGAAATGTTAACCTACTGCAGGAAAAAAAAATCTGCCTCATTAGTTATCTGTCGAAAGATACATGATCACCTAAGCTTGTATCATGTATGGCATAAAAATATACCCCTATAGATTAAATGAAGGGTTCATTTCAGAATTTCCTATACATTATTCAGATCAATATACATTTGATGAAGGGCACAATGGCTGAAATGTCATCATAACAACAAAAAAGATCAAGACACTAGTCCATATGTAAATAGTGTATTTACTTTTTTTTTTTTTTAGTTCAAGCTTTTTTTTTTTAGTTCAAGCTTCTTTTTTTTTTTAACTTTGATTGTTGGCCTACATCACAATTATTCCCATTACTAGGTGTGGTTATAGGGTTGCTGGCAACCTGACCACACCTAACCAGTCCCTTCCATATATCTGGTTTTGGAAAGGTATTCATTCATGTCTCTGGAAACTAAATATGGTGGAGTCCATCTCTCTCCAGGTAAAACTGCAACTTGAAGGCTTGTAATTGCATTGGAGGACCCTCTACCCTGCCTGTTTGACCTCATTCAAGGAGCCCTATATCCAGCAATGTCATCACATCACATCACTGACTGTATACATAGTTAAGGAGCCCTGTCCACCCGATGTTGTTAAATAGCTCTTGATTTCACAAAAAGGTTCATTTGCCTTTTGACAAGCCTTGTTTTTAACCCTGCTTGGTTGTCTAACTAATCACCTCAACAAAAAAGACTTGGGTTGGGGGCAGACTGTTTAGTTGCCAATAACCCAACCAACTGAATTACACAGTACCAATAAGCACTTGTAGAGTGGCCAGACATAATGTCGACCTACATAAATACAATATCAGTAGGAAGTAAATTAAATAAAAATGATAATATAATCCATGAGTTCAGTTTATTTCTTTATTACAAAGGATACACTGTGTTAAGAAGAAAAAAGAATATATATATATATATATATATATATATATATATATATATATATATATATAGGAAAAGCCAAAATTCTATATCAACTATGAACACAGCCACAACGTGCTGAATGTATTTGAAAAATAAAAAAATATATATACATCTGCATATTTAGTTAAAACTAAAAAAAAAAAACTTTGATAATAGATAATATAATAACTGAAACTGCTCAGATATACAGAAAATTTGGACAGTTTTTTAAATACTTTATATTTGGACAGTTTTTTAAATACTTTATATTTGGACAGTTTTTTAAATACTTTATATTTGGACAGTTTTTTAAATACTTTATATTTGGACAGTTTTTTAAATACTTTATATTTGGACAGTTTTTTAAATACTTTATATTTGGACAGTTTTTTAAATACTTTATATTTGGACAGTTTTTTAAATACTTTATATTTGGACAGTTTTTAAATACTTTATATTTGGACAGTTTTTAAAACTTTATATTTTTAGTTTTTAAATACTTTTTTTGGAAAGTTTTTACTTTATATTTGGACAGTTTTTTAAATACTTTATATTTGGACAGTTTTTTAAATACTTCATATCCAGAAAAGAAGATATTTGTGTGAATGGAATAAAAGTTGAATAAACCGTCAATGTCACCTATCTTTAATAAAATTTGTATATATATATATATATATATATATATATATATATATATATATATATATATATATATATATATAAATAAGTGAACATTGAGATCAACCCCCCAGCGCATACAGTTTACTATGTTTAAATGCAATCATCAGGAGAGTAAACTAAAATGTTGTAACAAAACAGGCACTATGATGTAAATTTTCTGTCAAAGTAATTTTATACTAAAAGTGTCTATCTTTAAAATTTCTGCTTTTACAAATATATATATATATATATATAATTTTAAAAATTAGGAGATCAGTCAATCACTCTATCTTGGTTTCAATCTTTCTGTATCCTCAGGCAATACAGTCCAAAATTTCAGTCTGAAGTTGAAACCAAGGTAGCATGATTAGCTGATCTATTTTTTTTTTTAATTTAAAAGCACTGCATGTTAAATTTTTATTTTCTTATATACATGTATTGGGCACATTTTAATAAAACTGTTTTCTGGTCTAATTCAACTCTGATCAATAATTATTTTATAATTATATATATATAAAAGGATATCACACTGCAATTGTGTAGTGATTTTTTATATGTTTTCAGTGTAATATCTTAAAATAAATAATGTTGCTGTACATTGTACTGGGCTCTGTTTTAAATGTTATGAATGTTGGAATTTCACTTTATTCATTCTCATCATACCTGAGTATATATATATATATATATATATATATATATATATAAGAAGGAATATTCATTTAGAAATAGATAATTTGAAAAAATCAATTTTTTTTCAATCTGTTGTATATTACATTGTATATTCATTTTGTAAGTTATTGATTAGTTATTGGATGATTCATATAAATATTTGCCTATAAGCAGTTCTCTTCAGGATATAACATGAGTGATACAATTTATAAGTGGAATCTATACATTCAGTTTCTCATAAGCTTTGTCTGATTTTTTTATTTTTATTCTTTAGAATATCGTTGAAAACTTGGGAGGTCAAACTACTCCAATTAAAGATGCTGAAAAATTACTTCAGGATATGGACATTACACGTTTAAGAGCTGTGGTATACAGAGACGTGGTAAGTAGATATGATCAAATTAAAAGCAACAGTTGTAAAACTCACAATAATCATACATAAAGCTTTGTCATGAAATGTATAATTTGTTAATTCTACATTTAATACAGGTGAAAAAAATTCAATAATAGTCCTTTTTTATATTTAACATCTTTATGGACTTTAAAAATATCTTCTGATTTTTTCTTACAAAATTGTTTGAATTTATAATATGTTAATATATATTTTTATAGTAAAAAATGTTTAAATTTCTTTATCATTCACCAGCATTTTAACAATGAATTTGACATTTTTTTTTTTTTTATTTAATTTATAGGATGAAACAAAACAGGCTCAATTTTTAGCCTTAGCCATTGTGTATTTCACATCTGTTCTGATGGTTTCCAAATATAGGGATATCTTGGAACCACCCAGCCCTGCATCCACACCAACTCTGGGACCACACCGTTCAGCAATTCATTCCCCAACATCAAAGGAAGTATCAGGTAGGAAGCATAGACCATGTTATATAATTTTTATTTATTAATATCTTGAAATTTTAAAATCTGATCATTTATAAGTTCTCTTTTATCTTGAACATTTGTATATGTGGTATATGTGTCTGTGTGTATGTATGTAAGTATGTGTGTGTGTAGGTATGCATGCATGCATGCATGTGTGTGCATGTATATATATATATATATATATATATATATATATATATATATATATATATGTGTGTGTATATATATATATATATATATATATATATATATATATATATTATATATATTATGAAATGGACAAAGTCCAACAATTATTTTAAGACATTTTTATGTTTAACCTTCTTTTTATAGATACAAATATCTAAGTAAATGTTCTGTTTATAATAAACAGTATTAAATAACATTTACCATCCTGAATGTCCAAGAAATTTTCATAGAAAATATTTGTCCTCTGACAGGATTCGAATCTGTTGCCTATACAGAACTATCATTTGTTTACATTTGATACGACATGAGCAGACATGAATGTACATGAGAGATTCATGGATGATTGAAGTTTAAAAGCAGTAAATTCGACCTTGCTAACCGATCGATCCTCTATGGTGAAATCGGTAAAGGCATGTCAGGCTATATGATGGTTCCATATAGGAGACAGGTTCGAATCCTGTCAGGACGAATATTTTCTATGAAAATTTCTTGGACATTCATGTTATTAATACTGTTTAATATAAAACAGAGCATTTACTTAAATATTTGTATCTATAAAAAAAATGTTAAACATAAAAATGTCTTTATATATATATATATATATATATATATATGTATATTTGTCTTAATGCATATATGTGAGTGTGAATATATGTGTCTCTGTGAGTGTGTATATATATGTATGTAAGCATATGCATATATAAAACCTTTTTGTCTTAATATTTTCAACTTCATGTGCTAAAAACAAATCTAATGAAACAATAAACTTATCTATATATTAAAGGCTATAAATTAACAACAGACATCTTATTATTCATCATCATTATTACCCTTCGATCTCCCTATGGTTGGTTGGAACTCCATTGACAATCCCTTTTCACACTGTTCAGTCCTGCATTGCTGTCCCCAGGTACCCAACGCCCAACCCTGGGTCTAGAGCTATCATGTCTGGGGAAAGTCAGTTTTCAAGAGAAGACACTTCCAGAAGGATGCCATAGGAGTAAGGATGAGATGATTTTCGTGTCTGTTCAGCGTCAGTGGCCAGCAAACTGTAATCATTTTTGTTTTAGCTTAAGAGAGATTGGTCTCAGTTTTCCATAAATTGTATTTTATTTTTAAACTATCAGAAGGATAGTGTTAAAAGGAAGTCCTTAACTTTTGCAAAAGGTTCTTATAGTGAGCTGTGGATAAATCAAATATTTATATTTGCAATAAATTTAATGTAGATAATGAGAGAAGGTGGAAAAGCTATAAATGACTCATTTCACTGAACATCTGTTATTTTCAGCTTCTTCAGGTCAGAATGAGAGATAGTGTGTAAAGAAAATGCATTTGGTTCTTTTTGTAGAGATAAGAGGGACTATGAATTGGCTTATCAGATACCATGTCAAGTAACCAGAAAGTGTCTGTCTATCTGCTTTCTTGTTTGTTTTTTATATATATATATATATATATAAAGAAAGAACAGTAAGATATATAATCCGGTGTTCTTATAGATATTTTTATTTTTACAAAATAGTGCTCAATGTAAATTTACAGAGCATTAATATTATAAATTAATTGATTTAAAGTATGTTTTTTTTCGCTACATAGTTCTAACCATGTTTCAAAAATGAATTTTGTTTTAGCTGTGTATTTAAAACCCAGTAATTTTAAGTTACTCCAAAATTTGCTTGAGGATGAAATGGAACTAATGTCTTTAATTTAATTACAAAATTAAATTGGGCTTTTACCTTCCATTTTTTGAAACATGGTTAGAACTGTGTATGAAAAAAAAAACATATTTTAAATCAATTAATTTATATATATATATATATATATATATATATATATATATATATATATATATTTGGTTGGATAGATGTGAGTTTGTGACCCTTGGTTTCACGCTAACTGGATTGTCAGACAAACTGATTAATTTTTTAAAATTTTGGGTTTATGTAGATTGCGTGTATTATTATTATTATGGAATATGGGGAACAAATGGGGATGTTATGTAAAACGCAATCATTTATTTTTGCAAAATGAAATATTTAAAAACACATATATACTTGGTGTCCATCGAGACTCATACATATATAAACATATGAAATAGACAGTTTCGGATATGACATATGTATGTACGGGAATGTTTGTTTTATACACTCAATTTTTATATGTTGAAATTAAAAAATAAAGTTTTAAATTGGTAAAATTTTCGAAATGTATACATGTCATTTTTTTTCTTTCCACTGAATAATATTTCCTCCTATGTATGTATATGTGTGGTGGGGTTTTATAAAATTATGATAGGTAAAATTATCATTATTTTTATTTATTTTAAAAATTTTTGAAAAAATTTGGGGATTTTTATTTGTTATATTTAAAGCATTTTATTTGTTTGTTTTTGATGACTGTGTATATGTAACAGGTAGAAATTCAGTTTGTAATCCTTATTATTTTTTTATATGGTGATATTTAATATATATATTAAGAGAGGTAGTTTATGTTAATTAATTATAGTGGGTTTTTTTAAATGATAGTAGATGTGATGTGATAGAAAATGTTTTATATATATATATATATATATATATATATATACATATATATATTTAATAAAGAATGTAAAACAAATTTTTTATTTATTAATAAGAAAATTTTTTATCACTTTAAACATTATTAAAGTGGATACTTATATTTGAGTAAAATTCCATTTATTTATTAAATGTTTTTATATTGACCTGGCATCTCAATTTTGAAATTTTCCCATTGCTGTAAAGCATAAAATTCCTGTGTCTTTTCTATAAATTTATAGTAATTGTTCTGATTAACTTTCCTCTATGGTACCTAGACTCTATGAATTTAAATGCAGTATTAGATTGGTGATAAGATCTCATCATTTTATACCTGAATAATTATAGGTTCTGTGTTTACATTTTCTTCTATTGTACTTCTTGTCTGTGGGACTCTTTTCCAGTTTCTTGCTTTCCAGTCAATTTTGATTTTCAAAAATTTAAATGCAATGTCAATCATCATCTTTTGTCTTAGTTATTGTTCTTTTATTGTTCACTCACCTTAATGTTTTCTTTTTATATTCTCTCGCAGTCAGTAAACTCCCTTATGTCTTAGTAGCTTTATTGCCTTGATTTGGCTGAAATGATTAAAAAAATTCATTTATCATAAAAGTAAATTATTTAAATTTTTATCTACTTTGTTTAATGTTACCAGCTGGTTATTGTTATATAAAGAACCCTCTTTTCCTGAAGTGATCACAATAAGTTTATTCTCCTGTAATTCATAAACAATTAATATTTTTTGAGATTTATTATTTATGACATTTAAATAAGAGATTATATATATTGTATCATCATATTTTATATTACTGTGTCCTTTCAGGACTTTAGTGATCATAGCTCTCTGCAATTTCCTGTCTTTTGTAGCTCAATAAATTTTGGCTTTTTGTTCTCTCTCCTAAACATTGCTCCATCATCCATTTACTCAAGCTCTCTAGGTAGGTTATGTCTTGTTTTCTACTGTTTTTCTTGTCTTTAATCTGTCCTGTAAGTATCAAATTTTTCAAACCCTCTTTCCTTATTATGTGTCCTAGAAATTTCAACTATCTCTTCCTGTTGTTAAGCATAAGAAAAGAAATTGAATTTCTCTAAAATTTCATCAAAATCTCACATGTTTGGTCCATGGTATTCTAATTGCATCCTTAATTAGATCCAAATTTCTGTTGTTTCAAGTCTCTTCATCTAACCTTGTTCAGCAAATGCCATATAAAATTTTATAGGGTGCAATTTAAATTGTCATTATTTTATATTTTTAAATTTTATTTATATATATGTTTATTTTTATTTTGGTTTTGTCAACTGCAGTGTATGCTTAGGGTTTATCTGAAATGTTATTTAGAAAAAAAAATTTTTTTATGATTTTAAAATTCTGCCAGAAATTTGGAAATGGTATGCTGAATACTACTTGGTATTTGCCGAGAAACTTAACCACAAACATTTGAAGAGTTTTTAATTGTCAATCTAAAGACGGTAACATAGAATTTGGAAATATTTGGAATAAAAAATAGTGATTATAATGTTATATTTATGAGGAAAATCTCAGTCTGATCATTCTGATAAGAAAATAACTTTCAAAAAATTGGTGAATTTCAGACTCCACACAGAGGCCTATACTGTTTTTATGATTATTGGAATTTATATTTTGGGTTCAGAAACATGCTGAACTAAACATTATGTCTAAAAAACAGAACTGCAAAATTATCACAATCAGATGAAGCCAGTCATGGCTGTCAGACATTTTATTTCAACCATATCAATCTTTACATTGCCATCTAACTCCCCAGACTGCAAATCTTGATTATTAGATGGGTTTGTTGAGCAAGAAACCAACAAAACTAAATTTGTAATACCAAAGATGAACTGAAGGCAAGGATTATTTAAGATTTTTCACCAATCTTAAAAAAGGAGACCAATCATTTGTTGCATGTGATTTCAAAGTTGTCAGGAGGATGTTCTAAAATAATGGCAATTTAAATTGGATAAATTTACTATTTAGTATTTCAAAGATATTTTTTGTAATTTGGTAAATATAGCTGTTAAAATTATCATCAGTATTTTTCATTTTTGCAAAAATAACTAAACAATTTATCCATTGTATTTAACAAAGTTCATTTTTTTTCTTTGAATCTTATGAAAAATCAAACATTTTGAATGTCTTAACAAAAAACAATTTTGAGCAACTCATGATTTATTTAATTCATATTTTATAAATGTATATTCAAATTCCAAACTATTTATATATATTATTTTCATGAAAAGGAAAGAATTAAAGAAAATGAAAA